TTGCACTGGGACAGCGGGGAGCAAGCCCCCTCCATTCTTTCTCCACAGGATCCAGCCTCCGCCTGAGTCTGGGGTGAGGGCAGGCGCCCTGTGGGGAGGACCCCGCAGGGGGTAGGACTTACCAAGCAGGACTCAGCCCTGACCTTTTAAAGTCAGTTCCGTTCCGTAGCGGATAGATCCTGCCCTTTTCACACACACTCCCCACCTCTTTCTCTGGGACCCCACAGGGGCTTGTTTGAGCCAGAAGTGTGTGTGTGTGTGTGTGTGTGGGGGGCGCCTAAAGGGAGCCTGTGTTGGGGATAGGCTGGCCAATGCATGCTCCTCTAGTCAACAGTCATTTATTGAGCACCTACTGTATGTTGGAGATTTAGCAGTCAACGAAAGGTCCCTGCCCTCCTGGGACTTCCACTCTAGACAGACAGACAGACAAAAACAAGATACAAAGTGAGGTGAGGGGATAGTCCTGGGGATGGTGGTGGGCGGGACTCTGGGTGGAAGTGAAGGAGAAAGGAAGCTGTTTCTACCAAGATCTGGAGGAGCGCCCGGTCCAGGCAGCCCTGGCCAGGTTGGCTCAATGGATAGAGCGTCGGCCTGTGGACCAAAGGGTCCTGGGTTTGATTCCTGTCAAGGGCTCATACCTTGGTTGCAGGCTCCTCCCCGGCCCTGGCCCTGGTCAGGGTGCTTGCAGGAGGCAACCAGTCAATGTGTTTCTCTCACATCGAGATTTCTCTCTGTCTTTCCCTCTCTCTCCCACTCTCCCTAAAAAAAATATCAATGGAAACACATCCTCGGGTGAGGAATAAAAAAAAAAAAAAGAGCAGTCCGGGCGGGGCACACCTTTCCAGCTGGGAAGGAGGTCACTGGTCTTGCCCAGCTGAGAGGGGGAAGGGGCGATGGGCAAGGAAGTCAGGCAGCGCCCTGTCACCGGGGCAGGGAGCTGGGATTTTGCCCCCTGTTCCTTGGGAGACCATTGGAGGGCTTGGAGCAGAGGAGCAACCAGAGCTGGTTTCCATGGTGGGGAGACCTCTCTGGCTGCAGCGTGGGAAACGGGGCAAAGGACATCAGAATGGCAGCCAGAAAGCAGGGAGCAGGCTACTGCAGGGTCCCAGCAGGTGAGCTGTGATGGTGGCACAGAGCAGGCAGCGGCGGGGCTTAGAGACCCGCAGGGACTCAGGGCGGGTGGTGGAGCGGGGCGGAACCAGAGAGGTGTCCCGTGGAAGGACGCGCAGGCACCTGGGAGGTGGCCAAGACCTGCTGTGGGAGTTAGGGCTCCTCCCTTCCCCGCTCTGGGCCTTCGTTTTGTCATCTGGCCCATGGCTTGGCCAATGGTTTTCTAAGTGTGTTGGGGGATTCTTCAGAGGTGCCCCGCGTCCTTATTGCATCCAGAGCACAGAGCAGCTTTCCCTTTTCACTATTTCACGTGGGGTTTCCACTTCAGACCTTTCCTGTTTCTAGAAAGCCCAGGAAATGAAACCTGTGCGAACCCCTGGATGGAGTCTCTGAAAATGCCTGGGATTCAGGCTTCGTTCCCCTTCTCTCTGGGGCTGACCGCGCTCGGGGAGTGGCTCGGTCCGTGACTGCCCTCTGCCCCTGCTTGCAGGTCTTCCCAGGACCAAGGGGGTGCCCTGCCCAGGGTTCCCACTTGGGGAAAGTCAGAAAGGAGGCAATGGGGGTGTGTTCCCTGGGGGAGGGGACGGCATGCTGGCCCTGCTCCCTGAACTTGATCGGACCCAGCAGCCCCTGCGCTCAGCCCTCACCCCAACCCCCTGCAGCTGTGGCTCCCAGCCCCTGCTGTCCAGGCCTCTTTCTGTCCAGTGATTTTCCAGAGGAACCTGAAGCACAGGCTGGAGCAAAGGGGGCCAGAGCCGAGATTCCTCCTCTCTCATCATCAGTACCTTGGACAGGTCTCTGAACCGGTCCTCAGTTTGT